ATGTACTGTGTCATTTGATGATTTTTATATATTATGTAAAACAAATTATTTACTTCTTGTTAAAGGTTTATGTTCAAATATGCTGAATAAGCCTTTAATTTGAAGGTTGACACATTAATATTACACATACTGTTAAAATAACTTCATTGTATCAATAATAATTTTTCCCTGTTTATTTGTCGTCACAGGGCTCGTAAAGTGATGTCAAGTCAGAGATCACCATCTGAATCCTTTATATCAGGATTGGCAACAGACAACACAGATAGTAGAAATGATGAACTGAAAGAAAGAGTTGAAAAGCTAGAAGGCAATATGGAGAATATTATCGATCTATTGAATTCAATTCAAACTACTCAACAAGAGATGATAAAAGTTGAGAAAGAGAAGGTTTTGAAAGAAGCTAAAGAAGTTCATCATGTGTATTATACGCAAACACCACAAACCAAGCATTCAAAACACAATCTCCATGATAATGAGGAGCAACGACAGTTGCTGAGACTTGGGAGTTCCTTTGAGGGTGTGGACACCACAGATCATGCTGAGCCAGGACTATCAGAGTCCACCTATAAGAAGCTAATACTACAGGGTTCATTGCCATTGTCTCCTGGATCATCACATGCTGTTAGTATTGACAAGGTAGACAGTGACTACCAGAGGCAACCACCACTGACTTACCGTGAACGACTTTTGCAAGGTTCTTTACCAACCTCCCCTGCATCTACTGTTGATGGTGATTTAGATACCGGCTTGACACATCAGAAGAAATTACACCGTCATCCAACATCATCTTCATTACCTCATGCAGTTAGTACGGAATATGAACCACAAACCTATCGTGACCAACTCCTTTATGGTACTGCACCTAGTCTACCATCTGAGGCTTGGCTGTCAAAATCACGAATCAAGCAAAAAGAAAAACCACCATCACAGCTTTCATATCGAGAACAATTGATACACGGTTGTCCGAAAAGTGGTACAGATGAACACCATTCTGATTCTAATTTGTGAATGAATGCCCTCTATAGTGAATCCAGTATTTATCTTGACACTAGTTTGTACAGATTAATAATATGACTAGGTATATTAATATCGTGATTATTTGTCTTCTATAAAAAAAATTGAATATTATCTAGGATTTATAAGATCATATAGAACATATGCAAGTGTGCTATATGCAATAAATCAATTCGACAAATTAATGCTTATTTTAATACAAGTTAGAGAATATAAAAAACTAATCAGTGTTCATCTGAGGGTGTTGTTCATTTTATTTGTATAATTGATTCCTAGCGACAACTGCATTCTGTGATGCTATAGACTTTTTTTTACATTTTATGTTTTTTTTTTTCATTTCTTTGCTAATTTTGGATCAGATTAAAATGTTTGAAACAATATGAACAAAATTATCAGTTTGAGAAAGGTGACAAATGTTGGCTTTGATATTGAAAGACTCAATTGAAGGGATAGTCAGTGGAGTCAGTACATCACATGTGTAAGTGATTTCACTTAGATAGTACAAGGTACTGTCAAATTACAAATTTTCACTGGGTTTAAATTTCACTGATTTACTATTTCAGGTATATTCAGTGGGTTTTAAATTCACGGTTTTATCATTTAGATAATGTGTTCTATGCTCAATTTTACATATTTCACTGGTTTTTTAGTGCATTTTTCAGTCAGCGAAATAAGCAAAATTAAAACCCAGTGAATAATTAACTCTTTTAACGGTAACAGTTACAAATGATGCATACACAAACTGTCAGAGCTTTAAATGCATTGTAAATACTGTCACACAGTAGCATTCCAGTACTGGAGTATCTTTTGTTTGGGATCTTTGACGTAATTATGCACACATGCAACAAATTCATTCTAATTAATGTGTATAAAATATGAAGGTTATAGTGTAACATATCAATCATAACTGTATATGTTTGTATAGTAGATTATAGTTTTTGTAAATATCTTTATAAAAAACACCATAAAATTCCAATTTTTGCAAGATATATTAAAGGCTGAATATGTATAGGACAGGATATCTTTTTATAACCTGAAGTGTATATGTAGAAATATGTAAATATTATTATACACACATCTTGTCTCTGTCATTCCATATTTTTAATCAGGTTGTAAATTATGTGAAATTTGAGAGACGTTTTTTTGCTCTATAATAATTGGTGAAGATTATGATGCAAATAGTAATGAGGATTTTGTACAGATAATCATAGTATCTCTATTTTTAATGATGTTTTCAGCAATGTATGCATTTACATATTTTATACTTTGTATATATATAATATTTCAGTTTTTGACCGTCCAATATCTATCATCTACAATCAAGTGGTAAGTGTCCACACATTTATATAATAACATGTGTTTATTTTACACATATTGTATTTAATACTAAATATAATGTCAAATATTGTTGATTTTTTTGTATTATTTAATAATCTTGTTTGTGTCGTTCCTTCCTAATAATGCCTTGATTTGTGTAATTACGTACACCTAATTTAGACATATTGGGTTTATTTTGCAAGACATAAATCCTGCTCAGGACTAAGCCTTATGATACTATGACAGGAAGAGTCCAGGTGGCTTCTGGGAAATAGCTGAATATATATTTAGTTTCACTAAACTTGTGTTTATTTTATGCCGACATACAGTGTTGCAGAGAGCTACAATGTGTGTTACAAATTATTTGGGTATAGAACTTCAGATCAAACACTTTTTTTCTTACATCCCTTATTTTTCAAGACGGCTGACATTTCCAAATTTGATAGTGTAGAAAACCGGTTAGAATCTTGTTTTTATGGCTTTTCATAGCAGAATTCAAAAATAAAAATGTCAACTATTGACTTGTTTTTGAATCTGTTTAAGTGTAGCTGTGTATATTGCTTACCAGTTCATACATTTTAAGTTGCTTTTGAAGGTATGATGTTGCAGCATTAAATATGGAGAGTTATTGAAAAGTCTTCTATGTCTGTTTCTATTTTTTAAAACTTTGATGGCAACTGCATTGTATATTGGTCTCAACCTTGATGACAATTAAGTTTGCCACTCTCTTTCTCTACATGGTAATGACATCTTTTTCGTAAATGCACCCATCAGTCCCATCCCACTATTTTCCATTAGTATTAAATGATGCTAAAGAAAAACATACCTTTAGTTGTGCGTATTGGTAACAGAAACAATTGGTTGCCATACCAAGGCCAGTGTAAGCAAAGTGTACATGGTCACATGTTAATAATGTGTTAACACCATTCACTACGTTTAATTACCCACCATAGACTTCAGTCAGTCAAAATGACTATTTTGAACTGTAGGCATTAATCTACGATTCTTATTAGAGGCCCGTGTCCTGTGTGTACCGCTAACAAAAAAACTTGGCTGATGCATTTGACCACTTATTGGACTTCATTGTGTCAGTTTTTTAACTCCAGACGCAACACAACTGGCTGAGTGCTGGACATAGTGAGTGGTTTGATGGGTGGATGTTGGTTCCCTGCGGAATATAGGCCTAATGCTTTCCACTGAACCAAGCACTATCCGATCGGTGCGGTGTCTGATACCGAAGCCAGCAGAGTTTTGAGCTAAATCTCACGCCCCGACCGGACCCTTCGGTTTCTTTCGTGGGCCCCGGTACAACAAATTTTTGTTTGGTGGGACAGGTAAAGGGGGAAGGCCACGCCCTGACAGCAGAGTTGCGACCCATTAACTTTTGAGTTTGTGGCCGGCACACTAGAATGCATTATGTGACATCTCCACGACTCTGAAAACTCAGAACACGGCTCGCATGGCTACACGGGTTATCTCGCAATGTCATCTGACAGGGGCTACCTCTGTGCAGCGGGATGCTGTTTTGGCAAGCTAACTGAGTCACTGGGTCAGTTACGCAGACTGGACCTCCTCCACCCTCTTTTGATTTGAAGATGGAAGGAGCAGTCTTGGTGCTTCGGGATGCCATTGACCAGATGGTACAGGTGAAAGTGGAAAAACGTAACAACCAAAGTTGGCATGCACCCACTGGCCTCCGGGGGAGGAAAGAGAGTGGTGCGTCCCCCAGGAAAAAGGAACCAGGTGGTAGATCCTTCTCTCCCTTGGGTGTTCGCCCATCCAGGTCGCAGGGGAAACAAGTTTGATGCTTCCGTCTGCGACAATGGGGATGGGCATATGTTCAGCACGGACAGAGTCTGAACTTCTTGACTCCTACAAACCTTAAGGGGACTCACCTCGATGGAACGAGAGATTGCTGCCAAGTAGAACTGCCGAACCCATGGTCACACACAGATTGCGCCGGTGTATTCCGGCTTGGTGGCAGCGAGTAATTGATCCCTGGACATTCCAGGTGGTAAAACACAGTTACAGATTTTGTAAAGCAAGAAGTAATGATTGCATGAGACAATACTGTAAAATAATTTATTTTCACTTCAACTCATTAAAGACGAGTGAAAATAAACTCCAATAATATATTTTTAGCAAAAAATATTTGCACTGTTGCATGTACTAATTGTATGGTTGAAAGGATTAGGGGCATGCATAGTAAATTTGGCAAGTAATGTAATTTATGCAAAATATTAACTACGACCTTCACGTAAATGTAAAAACTTTATTACTTAATCAATATGGATGACAAGAAATGTTCTGTCTACCATGGATATATGATTCATCCCGCTATTAATGATAAACTATGACTCAAATATACAAATACATCTACAGAATTTGCAATCGCTTCGCACAACTTCCTATGACCTCTACATGCTCCGAGTGATAGTACGCTACTTTAACGGCAATTTTCAAAATATGTATTTATGTTTTCGAACTTTTGACTATGGGACCCGTCAATATAATATCACCTACTCACACTACTGTTTACGTAATTTGAAATATACTCGAATTGGCGGCTATTTCATTTTTGAAACTGTTTTAAACTTGATAGCGTTTGTACAAGTAACTTCTTGAATTGACCTATGACCTCTACATGCTCCGACTGATAGTCCGCTACTTTATCGACAATGTGAGAAATATATATTTACGTTTTCAAACTTTTGACTATGGAACCCGTCAATATAATATATGTAACATTGCCAAACAAATCTACAAACTTTGCAATCGCTTTTCATAACTTTGTAAGCAGTTTGTCTTCGATTTTCGGTTCGCAGTTGCGATAATCTGCTTACATATCGGGAATTTTCTAGACATTGTAATGTATTCACACAAGTCAAACCAGTGAGGCAGAAATAGCTTTTATTCATTCACACGATGTTTCATACAGGCCGCCATTACAAGAATGTCGTCATACCAGAGAATAACTTACATCACGTGTTAGGGGTCATCTCCAATGACCTACAAGTAAGGGGCGTCTCACAAATATATATAACATGAGTACAAGTATACATTACACTTCCCCCTTTTTAAGCTGAGAACTTGTACAATAGAATCTCAAAGTTTAAATTCAAATGTTCTTTGCCTTCTTTAACAAAATAACAATAAACGTTAAATCCTATCATCAGAGGGGAGAGGTTACTCGCACAAATCACCCTCAAATGGATCCTCAGCATCAATTTTCCCTACTCTACAGGTTTGGTTTCACAATAGTAATCCACATCATGGATATGGGTATATTCTTTGAACTTTGAAAACATCAAAAATACATAACAGTAAAAACTCATAAATCTAAATGAACTGGTGGTTTTCTTATGCGTGTAGAAACCCTCAACATTGGTTTGGGTGTAGCAGGTACAGGCAACAACGGTTTACTAGGAGAAACAAGTGGTTCGATCGGAATCTGTTTACTTACTAAATTTTCCCCTGAACTAGATGGTAAAACTGCTGGAACATGCATCTCTCTGTCACCATCATGTGTAGAAAGGGAACTATACATGTCGCAACCTGTACTAAACCCTACTTTAGATAATCTAACATAATCAGAGTGGCGTCTCACCTCACG